TTACCGAGGGAGGGCTTGAAAAATGACAACGAGTGCTGCCTTATTAAAGCGACGAGGGAGAATATCTGCAGTAACTATCTCAAGAATTCCACTATAAAGTCAGCCCTCAGGCTGGTCGAAAATGTCTCGTGGCAGCCATTTCCTCAATGTCGATTGGGGAATGCATTTGCACGAGATGTCGCTCGCAACGATCATGAGAACATATAGCAGTTGCTATAACACGTTGATTGTTGAACACGATACCATGTACAATATTATTGTACTTGTCATTCTGTACCATGTCAACAGCACAATATAGTTGAAGATTTCCCGGTGAACAACTAAATTTCTGAACAGAATATATAACTAAGTGATCCTGAACTCCTGATGGAGTGAAAACTTACTCTCTTCTAGCATGGCCTCCGCGATGAGAATAATTACAGAACGCGCCAGTGGGCTGTAAAACGGATACGGCTAACCTGTACAAAAAACGGAACATTCGATGGGTTTCTTGATTGGCTTACCAAAAAATTTTGCAATTGATTGGAGTCACGGTAGTGCTGCGAAACTAAAAGTTTACGAGTCGCGTATCTTTTTTTTTTTTTGTTATAAAACCCATTTTTTTCGTTTGAATTTTATTGTTCTTTATTGCAGACATTTTTCTCATAATATTTGTAACGATGTAAACAAAAGGATGAAAGTTTTATGAAAGTGTGTGCGGAATGCGAAGAAATTGCATGAGGAACAGGCCACAGAAAGGCTGTAGAATAAACTGTGAAGTACTCGATGCAGGAATGTTAGTTAGTCCGGAGGAATGTAAGGCTGGAATTTTTTATAGAGAAAATCTAGTTATGTTGGACACACATTTTTCAGCCAAATCACTAGCCACAATAGAATTAGTTATCAAGATATAAGTCCAGCCGGTTATCTTGTGAATGAAATTCTTGACACATACTGTATTATTGTGCACAAAAACCATCAGTAAATTGTCTTCTATTCAAGGCCGAATTTCAAAGCGACTTGAACAGAATGAATATCTAAAGAAAGCTCCAGGTGTTCATGCATTTTGACTTGAGATAGCATATATTACTACTGCAGCACTCATCACTTCAATAGAGCCGTCTTCTGACGCAGCTCTCGGCGCAGCCTCTTCTGATATGGAAATAAGAAGTCGGGTAATCAGGAAGAAATTCATACCACGCTAACTTTCCACTCGGCTTGTCCTGAAATATTCGAGCTCTGGGTAAAATTCGCGTCTTTCAGAAGAAAGCCGCTTCCATTACAGGAACAAATTTCGGGTTCGTCGACAATGAATAAATCGTGAAGAAGTTTTGAATGGGATTTTTCGAAGTTTGACAATGCGTAATATTCGTTGAAGAATTAGTTTCCTCAAACCTTGCTTCAATTAAATATTTCTGCTTCAATAGTTTGCAGAGGTTCGCAAACCAAAAATAGCAACCTTGTTGATGTTGATAAGTAACCTCAAAATTTTGCAATAGATTCGTCATGATGAGCATAATACCTACGAAAGTGCGTCTCCCGGCACACAGATTGACGTTGGCCGGTCGAAGGAACTTGCCTCCAAGAATGCTCGTTAAAGGCATTTCCCGTTCTATCTCCTTCCCTCTTATTGCCTATTATCGCAGCGGTCGAGTAGCGCCCAAGGCGTCCAAGCGACGAGACCGCCTTGGATATTCAGCGACTAAAACTCGACTGGCTGCACTTTACATTCACGCAAGGCTAGTGCTAAAGTTTATTGGACGCAGAATGAAATTAGCTATAGAAAAAACTTATGAGGAGTATTTACTCAAAAGTATTACAACTAATATTAATTAAGAAGGGAAGAAGTGACATTAAAATTGTATCAATCATAAAAATTCGAAAGTTATACTGCTTCCAGCGTTCTGATGAAGAATGGCTTCATATTCTACTTCAATAATTCATTTTATTAAACGGTAAAAAGCATAGCTGCTTGATGCGTGAAGCTGCATTGCTGGCGAGCTGCAATGCAGACAGACGTTGATTCAAGCAATCTTCTAAGTAGATCATCGAAGCTAGCGCACGAGGAGAAAACGAGGGAAATGAGCAGCTAATCACTGGATAAAGCATTTGCATGCGAGCCGGGCATACAGCAGTAATCAAGTACAAGTGAATTACAGTGAGCGCAATGCTGAGAGGTATATTCAGCGTATAATTTAGACGAAGACATACGCCATGCGCATTTGACGATGTATTCCTGTGCCATGCGCATGTTTGCTCCAAAATACCGGCTTTATTGAATAAACACATAGAGGTTTCATTAATTTGTGCTTTGATTGACAAGAAATGCCAAAAGAAGGATTTAAATTATCAATTTTTTTAGGATTTGAGAACTAAATGAGTTATTAATTATAAAAGTATTTGATATCACGCAAGGGATAGGTATAGATTGTCCTTGGTGTCGTGATTGTCCTAGCGGGTTATATTAACGGTAAAGATAGAAATCACTACAATTCCAGCGCTAAAGAACGAGTCGGGGGATTAGCTAAGGTAGGGAAAAGTTTACTTTTAACGACTTTCTTCGCCAATTACGTGCATTTTCCCCAGGAAGAAAATAGCAATAGAATTGCTCTTGGCAGGCTGCAATTGCTTATAAATTTGAATGAAAGCAAAATGGAGGCAATTTTACTGACAAGCGTAACTCGGTGTTCGCATGTATGAAAATTTCAGAATTGAATTCGAATCTTGTATCAGGAATCGTAATAATATTATGCAAAGCGAGGAGGAATTTGAATTTCAGACAGGCAAGCTCAACCCTCGGGATGCTAGCGGGCAAAATGCCTGAGGCAAATTATTAAACTGACTTTATCGCGGCGAGTAAAATGCCACGTGAACGAAAATAGCAAAACGACGCGATTAGATACGCCAGCACGTCACAAAGACCACTCGATTGCCTGACGGGGTAGCTAGGATATGCAAGTAAGAAACGAAACAAGTGCCTGTGACAATCATAATGGAGCGCTTCGAGCAGTGATTTATGGAGATGCCAGGTTCGATAAAAAAATTAAATTACTAATAAATTTATAACTTGAACGACGTAAACGAATAAAGAAATATATATTTAGCCGTCAGAAATTCGTTAAACGTGAACAAATCTGAAAATATTTACATCGGTTACTTCGGTTCAACAAATAAATCAGAATGATATCAAGCAGATTATAAGATAATGCCGCACACCTGTCGCAATATAAAGATTGATTTGATGGTATGGCGTGCTTGAACAAATATGAAATAGCCTATATTTAACACACGCATGTGTCATGTATTCAAACAAAGGAACTCAACCTGCGGGTCGCGCGCGTCGAGTACAAGTTTGCGCAATCGAGGGCTGCGAAGTTCCCTCGTTTTCAGTTGAGCATGAACGTGATTGAGCCCGAGGGGTGTCCTGTCCATAGAGGATGTTTACAGGTCTTAGTTACCCTTTAGTGAGCTACTCAAGATAGAACAGAGGCACCCCTTGAGCGCAATTATGAGGAGCAAACACCACCTCCCTCCAAAACACACACGCTATAAGAAAATAAGCGCGCACGTCGAGGTAGGGGCGTACAACTTAACATTGTGTTGAGGTTACGTGCTCTTGCCTGCGTGGTTATCGTCGTATTTCTACGGATGATTGCGGGATAGAAAAACTTTACTTCAATTATTACTGCTTCATAAGCTGCAATGTTATTACGACTTCAATGTTACATTAGTATGACAGATAATGAGCATGATAATGAACATATGACCGTTACCTTTAAACTTTCCATTCAATGATGGTGCTGTAGTAGATAGGGAATTTTCTCCAAGGCTTTGGGGTTTGGCGCATTTCTTTCGCAAATGCGGATCCAAAGTTCAGCCGCGTGACAGTGGTTACAGCTCAATTTATTCAGCTCTGTATACGCAAGCATTACCTTACCATGAAAAAAACTAATTGTGCCTTCATTCTTTCCGGCTGCTGCAAGAAAACCTGCATGTTATTGTAATGAATTATAGTGTACCTATATTGTTTTTAATTTCCATGGTCTCTAAAATGCGAAATTCAAGGATTCATTCATTCATTCACTAATCGTGACTTAATTAAAAGTTGCTGAAATATTATAATATTGAAGTTAAATTTTTGAATATTTTTCTACGACAGAGTTCATTTCTCTATATTAAAAAAGGCAATTTTTTTTGCCCATGAGTTTGGAGGGATATTCACATAAAAGTGTCAGTTCTTGGATTTGCCTCTTAACTCTCTTTGGAGTTTGTTCGACATTCGCCCCCAGCTTCCATCAGTAAAGCAGAACGTTATCGGTCATCATTCACCCATTGAGCATTCAGCGCTTCGATCCTATCCATGCTATTTAGTATTATTGTTTTCGCTTCAAAGTGGATAAATTGGTCAGGCTTCAATTGCGTAAAATTACTGTTTTGGGAGCAATATTCATGTTGTAATTACGGTACATACATATGCCTTATTTTGCCTTATTTGTTATTATTGCGCCCTTATGTAAAGTTACTACTTCTCTCAATAAATGGAGATCGTGGACAAATTTTTGAACATTTCATTCAAATTAAATGCATTTGTGTTCAGAAATGATACTTATCTGCAGCTTCCATGTACAGCTAAAGCATATATGGTTTAGGCAAAAAATGAAGCAAAATATTTACGGCAATGATCGGGATTGGATGCCATAGAATTTAATGCAAATAATGAACAGAGCCAATAAAAACACAGAGATAAGCAATGGTTCTACATTTAAGAGAAGTTCAGTAATGTTACTGTTGCGGTAAACAATAAAACTACAAAAAAACTGACCTGGTTTGAGTTTCTGGAGTTCGTCAGGCTTCCTGATGAGGTCAGAGTCTCGGGCGAGATGTGAGGAGGCGCTAGCGGCGCCGCAGCTCATCACGAGCAGCAGCACGAGGGGGACGAGACGTACGAGGGGGGCGAGGGGTACGAGGGGGACGTGGGGGGGAGAGCTGCTCCGCGAGCTCAGGAGCGCCATTTTGATGAGGTCAGAGTCTCGGGCGAGATGTGAGGAGGCGCTAGCGGCGCCGCAGCTCATCACGAGCAGCAGCACGAGGGGGACGAGACGTACGAGGGGGGCGAGAGGTACGAGGGGGACGTGGGGGGGAGAGCTGCTCCGCGAGCTCAGGAGCGCCATTTTGAAGCGGGATGTTATCGGGGAAGCTTTTTTCTTGCACTAGAATGCAGGGAAGAATGCAGATGACGGAAGATTCCAGTCGGGAGCACGATCAGTCGTCAGGATTGTATTCCAAGTTACGACTAATGGGCGACGTCAGGGCGATTAGGGTTTAGTCGAGAATGCGACTTGCATCTTGCAACTTGTCATCTTTCTTGTGGGAAAAGTGCATTGCACAGTCATCAAACTCCCAACTATTGCAATCGGTACTAAATGGACTTATTGGAAGAAAAAGTTTCCAAAAAAGTTCTTTAGAATGACTACGACCGGTAAATTGAGGAAAGTATATCACCTTTCTTAATTTTAGCTTCAACAGCAGTTCACAAGTATGCCGCTAATTTTCATACAGTATGCTCAAGATTTTTATTATCTTTCAATAATCCACAATCATCATTTCATGACGAGCATTGCGAAAAACGTGAAGCGTATACTCTACCAATTCGATGTTTTATTCGTGACTTATCAAAAAATCGTGTCACGCCTATCTTGCCAAACTGTGCACACACATGTAAAGTCGTAGCACATATTGTTCACAATTTTTCGTTGTCTAATGAAGAACCGTATTTGCTTACTACGCCACTCCAAGATATCGTTCACTAAATAACTAATCACTCTTTGAAATTTAATTTATCTCATGTAATTTATGACTCTCAGATGCTCAGGAGTTCATCACCTATATATAATCACCATTCATTCACCTAATCACGTTTATTTCAACTATCCACATTTATTTAAATTAAATGCTCAGTATAGAGGAACGGATCGATTTCAAGAAAAAATCACATTTTGGACGTTGTAATCACTACACACGAAATTGTGCAAATACTCTACACTTTGAACTTTATGCACACCCCAATTTTTGATTTATACACTACAAACTTCAGATTGCAGGATGGCACAACACACTCCAGCGCTCAGCAACGGCAACTTCACCGAAATCTGGAACGAGATAGAAACTAAGCATTAGACAATTTCAGGTCAGAATCTCATTCCAGAAATTTTACCAAATTCAGGAAATGAAATTTCAAGCACCGAATTTAAATTTTTCATCAAATAATAAACACATTTCGATTAATTTTAATAAGAAATTATAGAATATATCAGCTCAAGTAAAAATGGCCATTCGGGTATCTTTTGCGTCATCACGTATAAAGAAATTAAATTGACAAAATTTAGTAAGAGTTTAGTTTAGTTTAGTGTCCAAATGTTTACTAGCGCTTCAGCTATTAAGCTATCTCGCACCGAAAGTCAAGATGAACATCACCATAGAGGTGGAAGGTCTCAATTATTCATTACCCACAAGGGGCGGAAGGTCTCAGATGTCCAGCCCGCTGAAGCTGGCTCGAAAGAAGCAGCGTTAGCATCTCAAAGAGACGAAGTGACAAGGAGGGACAGGTGAAAAGCAACAGAAACGAAGACACTCGAACAAGAGGTCGCTTACACGGGACGTCGGCCGCCCGCACGAGAGAGACAGAGAAGGGAAATGTAAGGAATCCTGCCTACATAATAACTTAACCCCACAACTGAGACTTACAGTCAGACACCGCAAGCTCAGCGGTGGGGCGCTCAGGAACAATCCCCCTAGGAGCGCGAAATCCCATAGGACTTCTGACGAGCACAGACACCCGTCAGAAGTCCCCCCTGAGGGGGAAATTTAGTAAGAAACGCAAAGTAAATTTGTATTTGTAGAGCTTGACTCGAAGGGCTCTAACATATCCTAAAATCTAAATTAAATCAACATTGAATTACCTTCCACCTTTGAATTCATTGAATTTGATAATTAAATTCATTTGCAATTTTACACCATAAAATTAGCAACAAAAATCATGAAAAATTAGAAATAGTAAAAGCAGGAGAATTCATTGGAATGAAAGCCGTAGTTTTCTTTTGCGGAGACAATGATTAAAATGAGAAAATGGTGAAGTTGACAATTTTGCATTGATGCAATTAAATCCTCACAGATACTAAGATTTATTATGATTTGAAGTGGTTTGGTTTTAAAAATGCATCGGTAACGTATGAGAGGAGAGAAAATTCAAATTTTTATACGCATTTTAGCCCATTTTACAACACTTCTCTTTAACTTCACTTCTTGTTTGTTTATCTGCTACAAAGCTTGTAATCGAAATTTAATACACTTCTACTTATCCTATCGATCTGAAATTTTGCACACTTGTGTGAAGTTGGAGACAATGCATGAATCAAACGTCAAAATAAATGATTTTAAAAATAATTTTTTTTAATATTAAAAAAATTGAAAAAATAATTTTGTCAGCTAGGTACAAATCTTATAACTGATCTTTGACACACTTTTAAGTGTCTAATTGATCTGAAATTTTGCACACTTCTGTGAAGTCAGAGGCAATGCATGAATCAATAAACTGAATAAATAATTTTGAAAAAAATGTATATATTAAAAAATATTATACTATTAAAAAAATTGAAAAATTAATTTTTTTAATAATCGAAAATTAAATGAGAAATTCATTGTACATCTGTAAGATTGGAGACACTGGATTTTTTGGAAGTGTTGTCTTTAAAAAGTAATTTTCAAACGTATATTATTTATTATGATCTTATTTTTACATTAGGTCAATATGCATAAAAGTAAAAAGAAATTAACGAATTTTACTTTACTTAGAATAAAGAACTTCATATTGGAATATCAGATATCACAAGATGACGGTTTCATTACTCGATTAAAAAATGAAAACAACGACAATTGAGGCTTATCTAAAACTTCTTCCTATTCCTTGCTTTGGAATTGTGATGAGAAAAGCATTTCAATTTGTAAGCTAGCTGAGAATGATACTATGTGTTCATACGTGTGGAATTTAACCAGCGTCAAACAATCTAGAAGCATAAAATTTATATAATGCTGCCGAATCTTCCAAATCGCGGTACTTAACCTTCGTTTTTAGAAAATAATAAAAAAAAACACAAAATTTGAGAGATAATTTGTAACTACTTGCGCGATCTAAACATCTAAACATTTTCTTAAAATCGATCATTGAATAACATTTTCGCATGCTACAATAACTCCCTTATTCAGGCCTAGTTATACTAGTAAAAACGTGATACTATTGATACTAGTACCAAGAAATACTGATAGGTGTAAAAAAATTAAGAGAGGTCCTCGGACGTTCACTTCTGAGGATCACTATTTGACGAGCATCGAGGTCGCCAGTGCATCAAGAATTTTTCGAAAATTTTCCGAAACTAATTCAATAAACAACTATAAAATCATCTTTCAGTCATCTGGAAATATACAAATTACGTCCATAATTGTTGGAAGCTTATTTGACTCGTTAAAGACACTGATTGCATGAGAAATAAAAGTTTTATGTGATCAATAAAAAAGAATGCACTTTGTGCAGTGAAACCAAGTTCGACTGCACCTATCATGACGCGTTTTGGGGTACGCTCTTCTCAAATGCGTTCACGACAATGACTGCAAACATGATAAAAGGAAACCTGATGAAAATAAAAACTTTTATTGAAGGAGTAAATAGAATGCTCGAGGTGTAAAAAATTTGCAAAGCGCTTCGTAATTCAGTAACGAGAAGAAGAAAGGCTTCAAGCATAGCGATGTTCGGCCGCCCAAGCTGCGACGCCAGGGTGGCCGCAGTCCATCAGTTTCTCTTCGCAACACTCGAGACTTTAAAAGCTATTCTCAACACCGGTAAACTTAGGCCCGCCCACTACAGTGGTATTCCTACCAGACCACACACAACTCACCTGACCAACTGAATCATTGAGAAAACAACTTGCCATATCATAGACGGGAATAAAAATCGGTTGACTTAAGAAACAATTGCACTTCCGAGATAAACTAGCTAACTACCAGGAACAAGGATATTCAAGTAAACTACATACGAATAAGAAATTAAGGAAATAAGTACAGAGATGAGCTGTAGAGATGTGATCACTCGAGCACACTCACAAACTGACTGCCGAGCAAGACGCAGAGGGTCTTCCAGGATGCCCGACACGAGACAGCCTCCAACCGCATCTTAGCGACCTGTTCCTCAATGCTTCGACCGCCGACTTCTAAGTTATCTTATCTTTACGCGGAAATTATCTAGAATAGCTTATCCACGTTGGAACCTGTGAAAGAGGTTTCAGAAAGCGTGCTTTATCCGGTGGTCTTACGCGAAGAAAATTGGAGAAGTTGTCAAAAACGGTGAGCATATTGTAGCAGGCGTCCCACATGTGATCGTCAGGCCATGCCCAGCGATTGTTACGCTTGCCTCTTGTCTTCAATCTACCGCGGTATCCCCCAACTATTCTATTACCGATACCCCCTCCTCAACCCCCGATGTATGTGCACCGAGTCACCCTTCTGCAGCAGCAAGCTAATCTCAGTCGATGAAAAGCCTTTCGTGTGTTATGTGACAGCTGGTCATAGATGCTCTATGCATCGTCGTTCGTTAAAGTAATTGTGAATTCCGAAATTCAATGCCAAAGCACATTTTATGAAGTTGTAGCCTTGTAGGTCAAAAAATTTCTTGAACGGTTTTATGAAGCAGTAATACAATTTATATATTTTGTGCTGCTCACCAAGTTCAAACTTCCATGCTACCGCCCTGCTTTCACTATATAATTTATCATCAATAGTTTATCCCATTTTTATTTAATTATGGGAACATTAGCTCTTTTTCGTGGGTCGATTTTTAAACATGAATTAGACTTAGACGGATCATATTAACGTTTTCATTGTTATCATGAACAGAAAAAATAAATCGACTTGAAGCTGGAACAAATCCTGAAAATGTTAAGAGAAAGCTAGCGGAAGAAAAATGAATTTCCATTTTCAAAAAAGAAAACTCGAACTATAAGCGCTAAAAATACATATACAGAAACAAAAAGAATACTATTCATAAAAATCTTATAAGACGGATTCTACATTCACGCTGTTGCAGTAACTGAACTTTGGAAAAATAACCAGCATACGCAATAAATTGTAACAGAACACGAATCAGGATTTACTCATGATTTACTTTTGATTACAAACCTAGAAACATAATTGACACCAAAAATGATAGATGTAAATTAATGAAGGCTTATAGAGATTAGTATTAGATATAAAGGGAATAAAAAATTTTCCAAAAAAGTCTATATGGCTGTGAAATGTGGGCAATAATGGAGGCGTAACTAAGCGGATCAATGCGGCCCACAAATCAGCCATGGAGCCACGCCACAATGCCTCCAAATCACGCGTTCCCCACTAATCCAGACCTCCATAGCTGTCCTTAAATTACTCGCTTCTGCGAGCACCGCGGCCTGAAGTTTAGATATCAAAATTATAGATAACTTGGAATAAAGTCATGACCCGTGACCAAACAAAGTTCCAGGTTTATAAACATAACTCTACTTTGGAAAGCATTTTCAAAGCCTTCTAGTCGATCACGATTAAATGCTAGAGTTGAAGTAAATTCTTCACTTCATGTAGCTACATTGTAATTTATATAGGAAATATAGATTTCAATAGCATTCAGTATCAAGATGATACAGAAACTGGATCAGTAACAGTTATGACCTCGGTATCTGTGATAGTTCAGTGTGATAAGTGTGAATTTCATCTCAATAATTATTTACATAAACAGCCTAATTTCATTGTTAGGTTTACGTGGGATATAAGTTAATCAAGAGACTCGTCATGTGACTCAAGTTCAATACCTCCTATATAGGGAGGATCCTCTCAAAGGCCCGTAATTTTTATAGAACTCCAAATACTCAGTTTTTAACTAAATGCGATTTTTTTCGAATGTAATTAATAAATATGAATTTTTAATTCTAATTTAAATTTTAGATCCAATTATTTTTTATGAGTATTGCGGCTTTTTCTATTTTCTCACAAAAATAAGTTTTCCCTTCCTGTTAATATACTGATACGGCACGTATCGTGGATAGGCGCTAAAACAGCCCCTATATATTTT